TTCTCAACCCTTTTTTCCCGTTGAATCTAGGTCATAGATGAATCATGTTATGAAGTTTATAGCAACATAAACACAGCAACATAAATTTGTCATCTTCAATTTCAAACCCAAATATCAAATACGATTTTGAAGGAACCCAAGTTTTGGGTTCCTCGAGGATGATGAAAAGGAAGATGATGAAGAGGATGGTGAAGATAAACAGTGAGATGATGATGTTGAGGATGAGGTTGAGGATGAGGAGAAAGAAGAAGATGAGGAAATTAAAGTTAATTGTGTTTAAATTTATTTAATCCATAAATTAAGAAGTAAAATTTTTATATGTACACGTGACTCAAGATATTTAGATGAAATACTTACATGGATTTATAATTTTGTCCACGTAATTTCTACATCACTTATAATATCATTTATATAAAAAATAATCAAGTGATTCCGTTAATTAATGTGAAAAGTTAGCAAAAATTTAATGGAGGGATAAAAAAGGGGCTTGATTTTAAACTTTAAGGACCAAAAAGGAGATTTTTTTAGTACAGGGACCAAAAAGGGTTTTTTTAATAATAAAGGGATCAAAAAGAGTATTTAACCTAAATTTAACTAATAATCTTATTATTTTTATTTATAATGTCAAAACATTTTTTCTTTTTCTTTTTACATCACCTTCCACCCCTTTTTTTTTGGGCATAGTTGTTTTAGGTTGCTTTTTGATAAGAGTAATGACAAGGAGGACAGAAATTCGAGATGAAAATTTTAAATCAATGATGTTGTATAAGTTATATTATTAAATTAGCTAATATATATAATATTATAGGTTTTAAAAAATAAAAAAATTAATTATTAAATAATAAATGATTCACTTTTTATTATTTTAAATGACGTGACTTATGATAATCATTAATATTAAATTTTGGTCTCATTTATCATTATTTTTTCTAAAATTGCGCTTTTTTTTTTTTTTATAGGTTTTAAAAAATAAAAAAATTAATTATTAATAATAAATGATTCACTTTTTATTATTTTAAATGACGTGACTTATGATAATCATTAATATTAAAT